GACTGTCAAGGCCATCCTGTGTGCCTTCTCAAAAACATCTGTGGTGTTGTGTATAGTGTGTCTTCAGGCCTCCTGGCTGGAGGCCAGAGCAGACCAATTATGTTGATCAGTGTGACCAGAGCTGAAGTGTTGTTTTAAAGAATCCTTATATATTGTCTTCAAAACTCCTCCCGTGCAACAGCTGGTAGCAATATTAATTGTAAAACGGCTAGTCTCTCCTCCTTAAAACATGCCCTACCCATTGTAGCTGTGTTCTCAGCAAAATAACCTCACTAATTGTGATTAATCCTTGTTTTATACCAGATGCATTGCTTGCATAATTTGACTAGTGAATGTTTAGGGTTGTACGAAGGCAACGTGTATTCTTTGTGATGCTCAAAGCTATCTGTTAATTGTCCAAACAAACAAACAAACAAACTTCTATTGTCATTCCAAGAGTTAAGGTTGTGATATTAGGAGGTACTGCTTGGAGTTTTCCTTTAGAACATACAGATCCTGTGTGACTTAAACAATGGCTCCTACCTACAGAACAGCTGTTGGCCCTGCAACAGCTTGTCAGAAGGCAGCTTGATTCTGATTACATTGAACCATCTCAGAATCCTTTAATTACCCCTGTGTTTGTGATAAAGAAAAATCTATGAAATGAAAACCTTTGCATGATCTCAGACAGGTTGGTGCAATCATGGTTAGTAAGCATTGGCTTACTGACCCCTTCTGTGCTTTCTACTGAATAACCCATTGTTATTATTGATTTGACAGGTTATCTTCTCACAATCCAGTTAGATCCCAGTGATAGAGAAAAAATGTGCATTTTTAGTTCCATCTATTATTCGTGCAGAACCTTATGAGCGTTATCCATAGAAAACCCTCTCCCATAGAATGAAAGGCTTTTCTATAATTTGTCAGTGGTTTATGTTTCCAATGCAATTTTCTGACTGTCTTTGTTGTCATTATATAGATGATATTTCTGCTAGCTGTAACCACTGAGGATTAGCTGGGTGTGTTGGACGCTGAAACCAGAAAGAGTCTACAATTCTTTGGCCTAGTAGTTGCTCCTGACACGGGGCAGTGAAAAGTACCCTGGAAATATTTAGGGTTCATGTACACAAAAAGTAGTCATTTCTCAACCAGTTATGCCAAGTCTTAATTTTCAAGCGTTGTTTGTACTCTAAAGAACTCCTTTGCAGATGATTGTTCCAGCAAGTTTCCTATGCTTCGATCCAGTGCAGTTTCATAGTTTTTTACCTCTTTTACAGTTTTGAGAAAAACATGCTGTGCTTGGCCAAAAGCCTCCTTTAAGCTGATGGTCTTGTGGTCCCTGTGGGAGCTGGGGGCGGAGGGCAGCGTGCAGGTGTGGACCTTGTCCTTCTCGCAGTAGCATTCCAGCAGTTTACTGTACTGGGGGATTTTCTCTCAGCCAAAACCTGGGCACCACAGAGCCCCACCAGGACGTAGTTTTTTCTGAGTGTTCTTTGTGCTATGCTTACTCAGGTGGGCTTGGCACAGGGAGACCTTGCAGGTCAGGCAAGTCTTCATGGCTGAACGGGGGCCTGTGGGGTAAAGGCAGAGTGGGCACTGGGAAGGGCCCTGCTGGCATATTTCTGTTCCTTCTGTATGCGTGCACTCCTTGCAGAAGCTGTGACCGCACCCCAGAGACATAGGGTTCCTGTAAATGTCCAGGCAGATGGGGCATGTCAGTTCGTCCTGCAGCCTGGCCTCAGCACCCACCTCGGCCATGTTGCCTGAGCTTTGTGACAGGGCTGAGAGCAAGGAGGAGGGCACTGGTGAGAAACTGAGAGCACAGCATACAGAAGCCTTCAGATGTCGATTTAGCTTAATTCATTCTATTGCTCGCTCAGTTGTTGTCTCTTGTCCGGATTGTCGTCGTGCTTGTACTGTCTATTTTAGTACTAACCCTCGAGGTCTTACTCTGGCAAAAGATCCCCAAGAGTTAGATTTAATGGGATCACTGTATATACATAACACAAGTGGTAATGGGACTCAAACCTGTTTTATGTTGAGATTATTTCAATCTAGATTAAGTGATTATCAAAACCACGACTTGTCCAGCTGGCACAAACTGCCTAGCCTGTACACAAAAGAACTGTAGAGCCTGAGTGAAACAGTAGAACACACAAAGAAAGTAACAGTAACAACTAGTCCTATAGACTTGTGGCTTCAATCTATTTTTGGTTCTATGTCTGAATGGGTTTTAAGTTTTGTTAAAGAAAAACCTACGATGGTTGTTGACAATTGTTGTAATTTTAGTAATAGTTCATATTGCTTTTTCTTGTATTGTTAAATGTGTAAGTGCTATAACAGAGAAAACATTATTAGCCCAGAATAAAAAAACGGGGGTATTTGTAGGGAATTGGCTATAGAACACGGCTTGCCTAGGCCGTGGGAACATCTTAGATAGCGAGGTTACAGTGCCCTTGTACCCTGTTAGCTGGCTGGTAAACAGGACATTGTGATTAGCAAAACAAAAAGCAACTGAGTACCACCTGTGTCAACAAAGAAATGAGTAAGAGGTGAGATCAACATTTAAGCAGATCAACATTTAAGCAGAACCAATAATGAGCTTAGCTTTTGCAATATGTATGAACTAATTATAAAGCATATATTAAGCTGTTAGCAATGATCAATAAATGAAGCTTGCTGATTCTCATATTGAGCGTCTCATTCTTCCCTCGTCACGACAAGTGGCGACCAATATTGTACCCCATGCTAAAAGATATGAAAAAGGCCATCGTCGAGTATGGGTTGGGGGCACCCTTCACCATCGAGTTGCTAGAATCCTTCTTCCTGGCCTATAAGCTGATACGTTACAACATAAGAGCAGTGATAGGAGGACTCTTTACAACAGTACAGTCCTCAGTGTTTGAGGCAGAATGGAAAAAATTAATCACTGCATATGTCAATGACAAAATGGAAAGAAGGGGAATCCCAATTCAGCAGGCAATAGACATGCTCTATGGGGAGGGGAACTATTCGAGTAGGGGGGATCAAGCTCGAATTGACCCCAAATTTTTAGAAGCGACTAAAGAATTGGCATTAGAGGCCGTGAAAAGGGTGACAGATGCCTATGTGCAGACGCCTTCTTTCACACTTATTAACCAAGGCCCAAAAGAACCTTTTGTAGAATTCATAACCAGGCTAAAAGAGGCAATCAGCAGGCAGGTCCACCAAAAAGAGAGCCAGGAAATTTTATTCAATAAATTGGTTATCAAAAAGGCGAATGAGGACTGTCAGAAAGCTTTGAAGATGTTAAAGGATCCCTCCCTACTCGAAATGATAGACGCTTGTAAAAATATAGGTTCCAATTCCCATAAAGCGCGTCTATTGGCTGCCACTTTCATGGGTCCCCAATCATGTTTCAATTGTGGTGAAAAGGGACACTTCAAAAAACATTGTCCTAAGTTAGTCCCCGAACCAAATTTGCCTAAGACCCTATGTCGGAGGTGTGGGAAGGGTCGCCATTGGTCTTCTAGTTGTAGGTCAATGACCAATATCAATGGTGAGCCCCTTGCCCCCAGGAGGTCCCCAGAGCTGAGGAAAAGGGTAACCTTCCAATCTTTGCCCGATCTTCGCCCTTACGCCTGTGAACATCAGGGAAACGGGGAGCAGAGCGCCCAGGGGGGCGCGACGACACAAATAACCCCTGCTCTCCGCTCCATCCTGCGCCCAACACCGCACCCAGCTACCCCATTACCCAAGAGCCTCCGACAGACCTCATTCCCGTTCAGTGTGATCCTTTAAATTCAGCAGACCCTATCTCAGTTAAAAACCAGTGTGTTCCCCTAAATTGGATAATCCTTTCCGTTACTCACCCATCTACTCACCTAAGCTCCTATGAGCAGGCCAGGGTTAGACCATCTGCCCCGGTCGATCCAGATAAGACTTACCTGATGATATCGCACTTTTCAGCAGTGGCTAAGGGAATAATTGTAGTGCCTACTCTCCTGACGGGACTGACGAACACAAATATAGCTATATGCCTAACTGTGCATCTCCCTCCCGTGCAGTTGGAGGACCGCTTCCCCGTGGCGAAGATGGTCTCCACCGACGAGCTGCTCTGCGTGGTGTCCCCAGATGAGGAGCGGAGGGAGGGATCACTGAGGGAAGTCCACTGGACAACCTCGGTGAAGACCTCTCGCCCTCTTCTAACATGTCTCATCTACTTTTCTCAGCCTAGGCACCCTCAGAAAGTCAAGGTGGAAGGGTTACTCGACATGGGGGCGGATGTCACCATAATTGCCTCCAAGGACTGGCCGTACGGCTGGCCAGCCCAGACCACTAACATCAGAGTCAGCGGTGTAGGGGGATCGCAGTACCCCGTCAGGAGTAAAGAGGTAAAGAGGAACTCCGAAGTTCCACCCACCTTTTCCCTGTCTTCCTATCACACTTTTCCCTGAGTTGTCAGTCCCATGCTCCTCCCCAGTTCAGAATCCTCCCCTCAGACTTTAAACCCCTTATTTAAACCCCTGTTGTCCCTGAATAAAGTGGCATTGCTGCACAAACCCTCAACTGTGCCAAGAACCATTATTGCAGTGCTCAGTCCTATTTCCCATCCCCCTGGACCGTGGCAGCAGGGAGATTGCCAAAACTGAAACCAGTACACAGTTGAAAGCTGAACAAAACAACATTTATTCCAAAGAAAGTAGCAAACAAAATGAGAAACCGAGAGACAGAAAAGAGAAGGGAAACAAGCCCCCAAGACAACCCCCCATTCACTCAAGTGTTACTTACCAGGTTGTCTTACCGACCCCAGAATGCTTAGAATTCCCCATAGCAGAAGCTGCATCCTCATTATCCTCGATGAGCCAATTTTCATTAATGTGAGGAAAGCTGAGAGACTGTAGAAACATCAGTTGAACTTCAAAGTCTCCTGGTTTCTGTCTCTCCTCAGACTTAGAATCAGGGTTAGGGTTAGGGTTAGGGTTAGGGTTAGGTTTAGGGTTGGGGTTAGGGTTTAGGGTTAGGGTTAGAGTTAGGGTTAGGGTTAGGGGTTTTTTTAGGGTTAGGGAACCGGGTTTGCGCATAGCTTGCAGTCTCTTTTTTAAGGGGTTAGTGTTGCTATGCGCAAACCCGATTCCCTGACCCTAATCCTAAAAAAGTGAATGCAAGCTATGTGCAAACCCTGTTCCCTAACCTTAACCTTAAAAAAGAGACTGCAAGCTATGCACAAAACCAGTTCCCTAACCCTAACTTTAAAAAAGAGACTGCAAGCTACTAGGGTTAGGGTTAGGGTAAGGGTTAGGGTTGGGGTTAGGGTTTAGGGTTAGGGTTAGGGTTAGGGTTAGGGTTCGGGTTAGGGTTAAGGTTAGGGTTAGGGTAAGGGTTAGGGGTTAGGGTTGGGGTTAGGGTTAGTCAGAATCTGTCTCAGTGCGCGATCTAACTATCGTGGGTTTACCCCATTCCAGGAACGCAAACCGTAAACCCTAAAACCTAAACCCTAACCCTTGTTAACCTTAACCCTAACCCTAACCCTAACATCTCATAGCAGAGGGAGGGAGGGGCCTGATTCCTCATCAGATGTATCAGCAGTCAAATGTCTGTAAGCTCAGCTCTTGCCTTTTCAGGGCTTCACACCGTCAGCACTGGAGGGAGGGAGGGGCCCAACTGCTCATCAGAGGTATCATGCAAGTCAAAAGCCTGAAAAGTCTCCTAGAATGCATAAATCATTAACCATTTCAGTCTCTGACAATTGGTCCACACAGTAACTGCAAGCTATGCCCAAAGCCTGTTCCCTAACCTTAGAAGAGAGACTGCAACCCTCGAGATGTTGGAGGCTCGAGGCATGGTCCGTGACACTAATCATGGCTATAACTCATAACTTCTTGGAGTATGGGGACTTCCCTACTTCACCCCCAGCAGATCAAGGCCACCACTTCAACTGACAGACATGGAAGCATTGCTGGGTCCCGTGGGCGGTGACTATATAAATCTGTCCACTCTCAGCTTTTCTTTCTCTTACTCTCCCTTGCTCTTATCCTGCCTTTCTCTCCCCTATGCATTTTCTTTCCCCCCCTCAAAGGTTATCTCTGTGTCACATTGTGGTATGACAGCACCCAAACTGCTAGCATGCCTGTTGATACAGAATTGTTAAAATAAACCTTGCCAGTATATGTTTTCAGACACCGATTATTTAGTGTCGTTTCACTTTAATCCACCCCAAGGGAATTATTAATAAAAACCTGAGTTACCCCCTCTCCCCTTTTCCTGGGGCGGGTTATAACACCAATCAGCACTGACTCCGCCCAGTAGGCGGAGCCAGTGACGCAGAACAATCAACACGGACTCCACCTCTTGACTCCACCCAGTGGGCGGGGCCAGTGCTCTATAGAAGCAGAGTACATACCGGACAGCGGTGGGTATTCTGCCAGACACGCAACAGAACAGCAACAGCAAAAGCAGAGACCCAAGAGAAAAAGCAAAAGATTCTGACAGCGGTGGGCACTGAATCGGACTTATAGCCCGAGAGGGGTTTACTGGGCACCACTGCGTTCCTGGAATGGGATAAACCCGCGATAGTTAGATCGCGCATTGAGACAGATTCTGACTAACCCTAACCCTAACCCCAACCCTAACCCCTAACCCTTACCCTAACCCTAACCCTAACCCTAACCCTAAACCCTAACCCCAACCCTAACCCTTACCCTAACCCTAACCCTAGTAGCTTGCAGTCTCTTTTTTAAAGTTAGGGTTAGGGAACTGGTTTTGTGCATAGCTTGCAG